GGCACACCAGGCCAACCACGCCCACAATCCTCGCTCACGCCCCGCCCCTGCCCGTCCTCTCTGAGTCTTCAGGCTCTTTCACTAAGAACCTCGGCTTTGGGCAAAGGTGCCTCTTCACTTGGGAGCCTGCTCCTTTAAATGACCAGCTGTCGGAGTAAATATATGCGACTTCCGGGCATGCGCACAGCATTATGCAGAGGCCTGCTTTTCCCCTGGATGCCAGGTAGTTCAGTCTTGCGCGTTGCTTGCTGCTTGTACGGCTTGGGGCTCCATTGTGGGTCGAGTAAAAAGTTTTTATTAGTTATTCCATCCGGAAGACGAAGGCGACGTGGGCACAGCCCTATCGTGATCACTATAGTTGAAATTGTATTGCCACGTATAGTTCAAACTGGGAAAGAAGCAATTGCTTCTGATGGTATCGGGACACTCGGCGACTAATGAGAGCAGCAGTACAGGCTTCTCTGTTTCTCTGGGAAGGAGAACGGCAAATTTTGGCAGTTAGAAAGGAATCTTGGAAGAGGAAGCTCACTTGTTCCGTTTGTACCATTTTCTCGGAATCTCTCACCCAGTAATTTCCAACTATGGGTCAACTGCACTAACTCAGTACCCACACCTTCACCTGGAAATTCTCTTGCTTCAGAATTTGTATTACACTGAGTGTATATGAATTTTTACGTTTAGTTCTTCTTGAACTCCTAAGGTTTTTAACTCTCTACAAACTTCATATCGATTCAGGTCTTTGCATTTGGTCGCTCTTACCAAGACACCTTCCCCCTGCCATCACAGTCTCCTCCTCCTCAACTTGCACTAAATATACCAGTATCTTAAGAATAGTTTTCATATGATACTTTTTCTGGGGAGGGAGAAGGTCATTATTCTTCTGTTCTTTCTCAAGCAAATGTCTGCAGCTCCATTGTTTTAAAGTCCTCAACCTCTTAATAGATGGTTCCTGGTCAGTGTCATTACCATTATCTTGGAAAGCATTTTTAGAATTATGTTGGATTCTAAGTCCTGGCAGGGCATTCAGTGACACAGTTTGCCTGTAGTGCAGCTGTATTTTCCAGAACTGTAGTAAAAACCAAAACCCAACCCAACCACTTCCCCCTACTTCTTTTTCTCTAACACAGTGCATATTTGTTTGTACCATTTTTTAGTGTTAAGCTTTCCATTTTGTTTCTCTTGAACTGTTTTGAGGTTGCACTTAGATGACCACTTCTAGTATGTCTTTCCTTATCTCACAGCAGAATAATATTTTTTCCTTTCTCTTCACTCTTACAGTTCTTATTTTGTATTGTTTCATTCAATAATGATTTTTTGCCGAACATGTGCTTGACACTGTTCTAACTGTGGGGAGATTGATGCTGAATTAGATCAACAAGTTTCCAATACTCATAAGGCTAACATTTTGATGAAAAAAATTGTAAAAAAAAAAGGAAAAATAGGAAGCATAATTGTAAGGAAATACTCTCTTTTTTGTGTGTGCAAATAGTAATTTGCTAATTATTGGTCTAGGAATACCACTTTGAAGTTATGTTGTTGTTGTTATGTGCCATCAAGTCATTTGTGACTCATAAAGACCCTATGTACAATAGCTCTGAACCCTGCTCTATCCTGAGCCGATCTCACCGTCTCTGATAAATCTGCACTCGTTACCTCAGTTATTATGTCAGTCCATCTCATCCAGAGTTCTCTCTTGGGCTGTCCCTCCACCCTTCTGCATATGATATCCTACTCCAAAAATTAGCTCCTACTGGGTACATGACCAAAGTATATGAGAAGGAGCCTCAAAAGGAGCAGCTTGGTTTCAACAAGACAGACTTGTTAATTCTCCTGGCAGTCTATGATGTGTTCAATACTCTTCTCTGTCACTACAACTAAAAGACATCAATTCTTCTCTGTCATCCTTGGTTATTGTCCATTTCTCAGATGCATAGCAAGAAACTGTTTAGACCATACCCTGGATCAAGCACACCTTAGTCTCTATACTGACATCCTTAGTCTTCACTCTGGAGAGGTCGCTGACAGCAGATATCCCTAATGCAATTAATCTTTTTATTTTCTAGTTGCTAGTGCCAAGAGTGTTGATTGTGGATCTGAGCAAGCTGAAATTGTTAACAATCTCAGTCTCTTCTCCATCTATGACAAAGCTCCCACCTGGCCCAGTGGTGAAAATCTTTGTTTTCTTGTTATTGGGCTTCAGTCTATATTGCAAACTACAGTCTTGATCCTCTACAGCAGATGTATCAGGCTCTCTTCAGTTTCAGCAAGTAAGGTTGTGTCATCTGCATAACACAGGCTGTTGATGATTCTTCCTCCAATCCTGATGCTTCTTTCTTCCTCATAAAATTCAGCTTCTTGAAAAATCTATTCTGCATAAGACTGAAAAAGTATGGAGACAGGACATATCCTTGTACACTCCTTTACTGATGAACAAAGCACTGTTTCCCTGCTCTGTTCTGAAGATTGCCTCCTGGTCCAAGTATAGATATTGCATGAGCACAATCCAATTCTGGGAGTCCCATTTTCCCACAATTTGTTGTGATCCCAACGGTCTGACAGGTATATGGATGAGGAAGGGACAATTTAAGCAGCATGTAGAGTTAGTGCAAAAAAACTGAAGCAGAGTAATAGAGCTGGTGTGTAGTAGATAGTTAGGAAAGGTAAGTTTGGTGGCCTACTGGTAAGAAGCTGCACTGCAATCCTGAAGGCATTCTGTTTGAATCTGCCAGTTGCTCCATGGGAGAAAGATAAGCAGTCTCTTCCCATGAAATTAACTGCCTCTGAAAACCTGCTGCAGGGTCAGCTACGGGTTGGTTTTGATCCAGTGGTATACAAAAAGAAGAAGGTGATTTTAGAGATAAGATGGGGTCCAGAGCCATAGACTTTGGAAGCCAAAGTGAGAAATTTGAATTTTGTTATTTATGTGACTAGAATGTTTTAAAGGGAGCTCTAGTTGCAAGAAGTTGCACCCAGTTTGAATTCACCAGCTGCTCCACAGAAGAATATGGACAATCTCCTCTCAAGCAATTTAGAGCCTCTGCAAACCTGGTCACCTAAGAGTTGGTTCCTACTTGATGGTACATTACAAGCACAGAAGAATGTTTGAAACAGTTCTGATATGATTTGACTTACCTTTAAAAATATTCTTTTTAGCACTAGAGAAAGTGAATAGAAGTAACAGTGGTTAGAGGTTTTCACAATGTCTGAGAATTGATGGTATAGAACTAATACTCTTAACGCTGTGTGCCATTGAGTCACAACAGACCCATAACCCAGTGGGTTTTCAGACGGAGTAAAATGCATGGGAGAAGATTGCCCATTGTTCTTCCATGAAGTTGCTGGTGCATTTGAACTGCATGTCACTGTGATTGCAGTGCAGCTTCTTAACACCAGGCCACCAGAGCTCCATTGCAGTGACCACACAGACATCCTGGACAATACAGTTAAGGGGTTTATTAGGTAAGTCAATAGGCAATAAATCAGTTTGGCAGCAGGATCCAATCTCGCAGTCCAGACAGCTTCACAAGTGAGATTGTATGTCCTTTGACCTTCAGCCTCAGGTCACTGACTTAGGTCATTATTACAAAATTTCTTTAGTCCCACTAGTTATGCTATCTTCCCTCCAACTTCCAGCAAGCTGGGGTGAAGACTTCTGGCTCTGACTCGTGGGGCAGCAGTCCCAAGTCAGCTCTGTCTTATGTCAGTCTCTGGTTCTCTGCTAAGGCTACTTTTCCTCTTATATAGATGTTAGTCTGGCTCGCACAGGACTCTTTGGTCCTGAAGGACATGTACTGCTTCCTCTTTATTGTTGGCGTCGAGATTGCCAAGATCTGAGTTGGAACTGATTCATAGCTGACTTTCCAGCTTGTGTTCAGATGAGGTAAATTGAATGGGAGGAGATTGCACATCTTTGTCCTGCAGAGCAGCTGATGGATTTGAACATTGTGCTTTTAGGTTGACAGTACACCACCATACCACTAAGCCACCAGAGCTTCCTTCTATAGATACACTAACACCCTGTTTGTAGGATTCTGCAGATCCATATGGCACAAAATTAATTAATGGCTAAGAAATTTTTTTTTTAATAATAGACCTTTTACACTATAGCTGACTTCTTAAAGATTTATAGCCTCAGAAACTTGATGGGAAGTAATTAATTTTGTAAGTAAAAATTGACTCATAAGCAATAGTGGGTTGGGTGTGGATTTTCCTTATCACTTTAGAGTATTCTATCTTCTCCTTGTGCTCTCTCCTGTCCTTGCCCCACTTAGCTATAAAAATCTAGACCTAACTTCTCTTAAAATGAATGAAATTTTCAGGTCTTCAAGTGAAGTTTTGGCAAAAATTATAAGCAGTCGATGTTCTATTTGGTGGCTTTGTGAATAGTATCAAGGTAACCTTGAAACTGACCCATTTTCAACCTAATAACATTGTTGTTAATGTGTCGTCGAGTGGCTTGCGGCCCTATCCTGTGCCAATCTTATTGTCTCTGACATACCTACCCTCATTATTCCAGTCACTGAATCAATCCATCTCATGTCTTCCTCTCTTGTCTTGTCCCGCCACCTCCCAAGCTTGACATTTCTCTCCAAGGACTGGTCCCTCCTTGCAACATGTCCAAAGTATGTTAGATGAAGCTTCAGAATCCTTGCCTCCAAAGAGCAGCCTGGTTTCACCAACTCCAAGACAAACCTGTTCTCCTAGCCATCCATGGTATATTCAATACTCTTCTTCAGTACCACAGCTGATATAATAGGAAAAAAGTCTGGGGTGAATGAAGAGTCAGATTACAGATCACCAGTTATATCAGAAAATGTGGCTATTCTTGGTATATGAAAGTCAAAGGACAAATGCTATGCAGTCATAAATTAAGTTATTGGTGTTATTTAATTGAACTTGAAATTTAAAGGGATAAAAAGATTTTCATAAATCCAGATAAACTTCATCTTTTTGTTTTCTACAACATCTTTTTGTTTTCTTTGTAGGCATCATATTTAAGAATGGAAGAGGATACAGATTTTAGAATCAAGTTCAGTTCTTTGTGTTATATTAATGATCATGTTGGATTTTGTGGAACTATAAAGAGTTCACCAAGTGATTTTGTTGTTATTGAGATTGACGAGCAGGGACAGTTGGTTAATATGGTCAGTGATGAACCTCTTAACAAGATTCATAGCATACCATATCAGCCAAATACTTTTGCCAAAAAACCAAAACTAAATCGTCAAAATTTAACCTTTGAAGAGCCTAACCAAGAACTTGATACACTAACTAAATGCTTGGGCGGTGACCCAGATCTTCAGTCTGGCTTAAAATCTGAAGATACTAACAAAGATGGAACTTTGAAATGTGCCGAAGAAAAAGCTGATGTATTAGGTTCCTTATTAGATGAAAAAACGAATGAATTACTGAGTCAGTTTGCCTGTGATACAAAAGAAAAGTGGAATTGTACAACTGAGCTGTTTGGCCCACCTCCTGAATTCTCATTAGGCAGAATCCTTGACAAAACCCAGAGGGCCAGCCTGCATAGTGCTGTTAGGCAGAAATTTCCTTATTTAATAACTGTAGGGAAAAACAGCGAAATTATTGTAAAACCAAACCAGGAGTATAAAGAACTCTGTCACTTGGTATCAGAAGAAGAAGCATTTGACTTTTTCAAGTATTTGGATGCAAAGAAAGAAAATTCCAGATTTACTTTTAAACCTGATACAAACAAAGATCACAGAAAAGCTGTTCATCATTTTGTGAACAGAAAGTTTGGGAACCTGGTAGAAACCAAATCTTTTTCTGAACTGAATGGCAATGCTGCTCATCCAAATGTCGTGATAACAGTGAAGTTTCGGGAAAAGGCACACAAGCACAAGAAAAGGTCTCTTCTTGAAAGCCAGGAAAGAAAAGTTGTTTATACAGGTAATTTGATAAGTCATTATTTTATTTTAAGTAAATTTAAAAATTGTGTGAAAGTTGAATACTTTGAATTGAGTACATTTGTCAAAGGTGTATTTAGGAGGGGAAAGAAGTGCAGTGCTAAAAGAGAACTTTGAATACAAAAGAACAAAACCTTTCTGAATGTGAAAATACTTATTGTTATTCCAGCCTCTACAGGTAGCACATAATGCTTAAATTGAGAAGGGCTTGTAGACAAAAGCAATCAGGACAGCCAACTCAAATAGGAGATCTAGGGTATGATTATAAAATCCTGTGTTAATCTTTGAAAGATCCATAACTGTGCCTCCAAAAAAGGCTGTACAGACAAAAGGCTCTCTAGGAATTGGGGAGCTCAGGTGACTTAGTGGTAAGGAGTTGTGCTGCCACCCCAAAGACTTGCGGTTCAGGTATAGTAGATGTTCCATGGGTAAAAAGATAGGCAGTGCCCTCCCAAGCAGTTTACTGCCTTTGAAAACCCCCTTGAGGGTCAGCTATGACTCTGTTCTGACTTGATGGTACATAAAAACAAGAAGAATGACTCAGATCCTCTAAGTAATTCAGGAGTTCTTTCATGTTTGGTTGAAACATGAAAGAAAATCCAGCTTCATATAGATAAATGATTGGGGAAAGGGAAATTGAGGACCTCCTGAAATACTACCGAGTGAAAACACCAATCCCATTGCCCTCGAGTTGATTCCAACACACAGAGACCTTTACTGAATTTCTGAGACTGTAATTTTTTTTCCATTTAAAAAAAAAAATTTACTTTGCATGAATGTTTACCAAGTAAATTGGCTTTTTATTCAAGCATTTATACACATTTTGTTTTAGAACAATAGTTATAATGTTGTTATGTGTCTTTGAGTCACTTGAGACTCACAGTGACCCTATGTACAACAGCTCTGAACTCTGCTCTATCTTGAGCCACTTCATTGTCTCTGGCACTCACCCTTCCTCATTACCACGATCACTGAGTCAGTCCATCTCATCTAGGGTCTTACTCTCTTGGCACTTGTCCCTCCACCTTTCCATGCATGATGTCCCTCTCCCAGAACAGGTCCCTCCTTGCAACAAACCCAATGTATGTCAGATGAAGCTTCAAAGCCCTTCCCTCCAAGGAGCAGTCTGGTTTCACCCTCTCCAGGATGAATTTGTTCTTCTAACAATCCATGGTGTATTGAATTCTCTATTACCACAACTCAAAGGCATCAGTTCTTCCATGATTCTTAGTCATTGTCCAGCTCTCTGATGCATAGCAAGTAATTGTGAAGACCATGGCTAGGATCAGGTGCACCTTAATGTCTAGACTGACATCATTCCTCTTCAGTACTCTGGAGAGGTACCTGACAGCAGATTTTCTCAAAGCTCTTACTATAATTGTGCTTTTCCCATTCTCAGTTCTTACCCACAATTCTCATTTCTACTAAAGCTTCTGTCTTATCCTACTTTCAGGGCTTTGTCCTTAAGTAAATGCTACTCTTTTGACTTTGTGGTTCCTTATTCTAAGAAGTGTCTTGCCAGAAAGGCCTGGTGGACTCTTCCATAAGGAGCTATCCTGCTAAGCCAAGGGCAATTCACTAGTCTCTTAGTGGGAGAACAGACAATAATTCTTCCATGCCAAACTCCAAGAATTGACTAGAGTCAGCTATGAGTTCCATGAGTAAGAATAGTCATTTTACTCAAACTGCATTATAATCTTACCACGAAGTTACCTTTTTTTTTTTTTTTTGGTACATTGTTAGTTTGAGTGTTGAGTGTTTTATTTTATACAATGGATATGCTTCGGTTTCAGAGGACCAGAGGTTTGTTTTCAAATACTTTTGGTGAAGGTACAGTGAAAACACAAAGTTAGGCCTTCTCGTTTCCTTCTTATATCTGCTCTTTGAAACTCCATTTCTGCCTGATTTCTGTCTTTAAGAATTTGGAAGTTCAAAAGCTCTCCTTTTATTATTGTACTCAGACTGTATAAATGTTCTGAGTTCAGTCTATTACACAAAAACACGCTGGGAAAATCTGTCAGCATAAGACCTCCCTAGTGGGGTTTCTGCTGAGGGAAAATATATTTTCATATTGTAAAAGTTATGAATTCATTTGACTTATTTCTATAAACATAAATAGCATTTTCATAGCAATTTATCAGTATTCATTGTGAACATGTTAATTCTCAGTAACTCATAAACTCATTGCTGGCAGGTCAGAACTAGCTCATAGTTGGCCTTCCAGTGCATTTTCAGAGGCTATAAATTGCACGAGAAGAGCTTCTTCCCTTGGAGCTGCTGGTGGACTTAAACTGACAGACGTTCACTCTTGGGTTAGCTGTACAACTCTGTAAATATCAGTAGATACTAATTTTTAAAAACCCCAAACCTGTTTAGGTCTACAGTAATTTATATGAGTTATAATCCTTTGGGGTCCTGAATCCAAGAAGTTTGAGAACTAATTAGAAAAGGTAAGCTACTTTTTGAAAATTAAACCATAAAAACCCTGTAGGTCACAAGAGAATAGTCTGGTAAAGTGCTGGAAAATAAGCCCCTAAGTTGATGAGAAGTCTTTCAAAATACACAAAGGGCACAAAAAGAGGGAAGAACGTCAAGGTGGTGAACATAACTCATCAGCAGTAAACAGCCTGGAATAAGTGGAGGGCACTTATTTCAGAAAAAGGGCCAAATATGCAAAGATAGAAATTTCTTGTCCGTCCAAAAACTACGAGACGTTCTTTGAGTCAGAGTTATAGGTAAATGAAAGTAGCCCACGCAGAGACTGAGGCCCAATAGAGAGGGAATTGAATGTCACTATAAGGAATTGGCTTTTTTTTTTTTTTTTTGCTATAAACCTTTGATGACTGACCGATAATTTTCAAATAACATTAACTGAAATTTTTGAAGCTGATTTTCTGTTTATATTAAAAAGTCCTCATCATACTTTGTTTAGATTAATGATTTGCATAATTATACTAATCTGTTGACTGCTAAGAAATATAATTATGTTAGGAGTCTTGTATATGATCTAGGATTATTTTTGTTTCAGCTTTCACCCTACAAAAGGAGAATCTGGAAATGTTTGAGGCCCTTGGCTTTTTGGCTGTCAAACTTGGTGTGATTCCTTCTGACTTCAGTTATGCAGGTCTTAAAGACAAGAAAGCTATCACCTACCAGACAATGGTTGTCAGAAAAGTCACCCCAGAGAGGTAATAAAACATTGTGTTAAAGGAGAGAATTTTAATCTTCATATTTAATTAAGATAATCCATAAAGAACCCACAGTAATGTAGGAATATTTGAATCTCATTGTGAAAATTAATTAATTGACTGCACACTCACTTAGCTGCACATTTTGCTTTTGTTGTTGTTGTTGTTGTTGTTATGTGCTGTCGAGTCATCTGTGACTCATAGCGACCCTATGTACAACAGCCCTAAACACTGCCCTATCCTGTTCTAATCTCACCATCTCCGACACACCTACCCCCATTACTCCAGTGACCGAATCAATCCACCTCATCGAGGATCTTCCTCCTGCGCTGTCCCTCCACCCTCCCAAGCATGACGTCTCTCTCCAAGGATTGGTGCCTCCTTGCAATATGTCCAAAGTATGTAAGATGAAGCTTCAGAATCCTTGCCTCCAAGGAGCAGCCCGGCTTCACCCTCTCCAGGACAAAACTGTTCCTTTCCTTAGCAGTCCATGATATATTCAATACTCTTCTCCAACACCACAGCTCAAAGGCATCAATTCTCTTTCTGTCATCCCTAGTCATTGTTCAGCTCTCTGATGCATAGCAAGTAATTGACAAGACCATGGCATGTATCAGGTGCACCTTAGTCTCCAGAATGACATTGTTGCACTTAAGTACTCTAAAGAGGTCTCTAACCGCAGACTTTCCCATTGCAATATGTCTTTTAATGTCCTGGCTCTGGTGCCAAGAGTGTTGACTATGGAGCCAAGCAAACCAAAATTGTGAACAGTCTCAATCTCTACACCATCCATTGTGATGCTGCCAATTGGTCCAGTGGTGAGAATATTTGTTTTCTTGATATTGAGCCTCAAACCATCCTGAAGACTGTAGTCCCTGATCTTCCACAGCAAATGCTTAAGGTCCTCCTTAGTTTCAGCAAGCAGGCTTGTGTCATCTGCATAATACAGACTGCTGATGATTCTTCTTCAATTCTTCCCTCAATCCTGATGCCACATTTCTCAGATTATCCTCCCAGATAATCTGTTCTGCATAAAGATTGAAAAGGTATGGAGATAGGATATAGCCCTGGCGTACACCTTTCCCAATTTTGAACCATGCATTGTTTCCGTGCTCGGTTCTGATGACTGCCTCCTGGTCCAAGTATAGGTTTCACATTAGCACAATCAAGTTTTCTGGGATGCTCATTCTTCATAGAGTTAGCCACAATTTGTTATGATCCACACAGTCAAATGCCTTTGCGTAATCAATTAAACAAAGATAGACATTCTTTTGGTACCCTTGCTTTCAGTCAAGATCCATCTAACATTAGCTACAATATCCCTAGTACCACGGCCCTGTCTAAACCCAGCCTGCACTTCTGGTAATTCTCTATTGATGTGCTGTTCTAGCAATTTTTGGATAATCTTCAGCAGAATCTTGCTTGCATGTGATATTAATGATATTGTTTGATAATTTCCACACTCTGTGGGATCACCTTTCCTTGAATGGGAACAGATATAGATCTCTTCCAGTCAGTTGGCCAAGTGGTTGTTCTTCAGATTTCTTGGCACAACTTGGTGAGCACATCTAGGGTAGCATCTGTTAGTTGAAATATGTCAGTTGGTGTACCATCTATTTCTGGGGCCTTATTCTTAGCCAGTTCTTTCAAAGCAGTCTGAACTTCTTCCTTCATCACCATAGGCTCTTGCTCATATATTGTTTCATTAAATTCTGTGTCTGCCAATTCCTTTTGGTATAATGACTCTGTATACACTTTCCATCTTCTTTTAATATCGTCTAAATAGAATTCTATCTTAAATTTATATTTAAAATATGGGCACCTGCAGAATGAAAACTAAGAGGTAGCAGAGTTTGGATAGATTTTTGTTGTGTGTAAAATCACACATAATATTTAAACAAAGATTCTTACCCCTGGACCAAAAGGCGGTGTCATAATGGATGGAGAGGAGATTGAAACTGTCTAAAGCTTCACCTTGCTTGGATCCACAATTAACACCCTTGGTATGAGCAGTCAGGAATTAAGGAGATGCATTGCACTTGAAAATCTTCAGTTAGGGACCTTTCCTAATGAGGAGTAGCGATGTTGGTTTGAGGACTAAGGTACATCTGATTCAGGCCATGGTCTTTCCAATTACTAGCTATGCATCTGAGATCTGGACATTGAATAAGGATGACAGAAAAAGAATTGATGCCTTTTAGCTGTGGTGTTGGAGAAGAGTACTGAACATTCCATAGATGACCAAGAAAACAAATAGATATGTCTTGGACAGGGTGCAGCCAGAGTGCTCTTTGGAGGGAAGAATGATGAAGTTTCACCTAACATATTTTGGACATATTCCTAGGAGGTGCTATTTCTTGGAGAGGAACATGATGTTGGAAAGGGTGGAGGGTTGGCGAAGGGAAGACCCTCAACTAGGTGGATTGACAAAGTGATTGCTGCAATGGGCTCTTGTGTGTCAGAAAGTGTGAGGATGGCACAGGACAGGACTGGGTTCACACTTTTTGTTCATAGGGTCACTATGAGTCGATGGCACCTAACAGCAACAGTAACAACAAACACTAAAAATTTATATTTTGTATACCAAAAAAAACCCCTCATTATTATAATGTATAATACATATTAGATTAAATCTAGAATGTAGATTTAGAATGTCTTATCAGCTCAATTATATATTTTAAATTTATTGTTGTAATTGTTAAAGTGATGCATGTTCATTGCCAAAAATTTTAATAATAGAGAAAAACAGTCTTAAAAAGAAATAAAAAGTCACTAATAATTGTTGCTATGTGCTATCGAGTTGCTTGCGACTCATAGCAACCTTATGTACAACAGCCCTAAACCCTGCTCTGTTCTCTGCCAATCTCACTGTCTCCTACACGTTAATCCCCATTACCCAAGTGACCAAATCAATCCATGTCATTGAGGGTCTTCCTCTCCTGCGCCGTCCCTCCACCCTCCCAAGCGTGATGTCCCTCTCCAAGGACTGATCCTGCCTTGCAACATGTCCAAAGTATTAGTTACCTTTCTGTATTCCTTATTTGGAAAGTTTCCTAGTTCCATCTCAAAATTACTGTGCTACAGGAGAGCTCCTGATGTTTGCAGATACATTTCGCCAGCTTCTGTGTCCTCCTTGTTCCTTCTCTCTCTCCCTTCTGGACTGACTGCAACTCTGCAGTACCTCAGCTGCCACCTGGAGTTCTGAGATCTGTCTGTCCTTGTTTTTGCTCATTGTTTGGTGGGTTAGCTGCTGAGGTAGTAGATGGGAGGGCTCAATCAACTTTGCCCTCTAGTTTCCCCTCTACATTACCATTCTGATGTTACAAGTGGCTGTCAGTGAAATACAATTTTCAATTTTTTAAAAAAAGTAAAAGTAATTTTTAAATGTTAAGTTTAACTGGCTTTGTGATTTACCACTTACAGGTTGAAGAGTATTGATAAAGAAATTGAAAATAAAAGAATGAAGATGTTTAATATTAGATCTGTAGATGATTCACTTAGACTTGGTCAGCTCAAAGGAAATCACTTTGATATTGTCATAAGAACTTTAAAGAGAAAAAATAATGATTCTGCACATCTGGAAGAAAGAATTTTAGAGGCAATAGAAAATGTTAAGGTAAGAAAACTCATTTCTAAATAGAGTATTACAGAGAATTTTCCTACTGTATTAAAACAAGAAGTGAGGCTTTTCTTTTTCACCTATGTATACAGTCACATGGCTTGTATCTTTTCTTTTTTTTATTTTCTTGTATCTTTCACTTTTCTATTAAAACCAGACAGTAATATATTTTTTTTTAAAAAAATTCAACATGGAGTTATGCAAAGGACAAAATTAATTACGTTGGAAGAGATTTTTGTTTGTTAACATCTTCCACATAGAGCAGAATTTTAGGTAGAGGGATTTGTATTTTGAAATTTTGTTGAAAATTCTTTTTAGAATACTTTAGTGTAAAAACAGTAGCAGCTAGTATAGGGGTGGCATCATCTCACCTCCACTAACTTCAAAAGGGGGAGAACCTCTATCAGCAACATCAAGCCTGCTCCTTTGAAGTCAAATAGAGCTCCCTGCTCCCACACCTCCCTCCTCTGGCTCTCCCTTCTCTGCTGCTTTGTTTGCTAATCTGATACAATGATTACATAGGATTCACAGACTATATTCATGATTATGGGTTTTATTAGGGAAGTTAACAAATTACAGTTCCTTTCTCTAATGTCTGATAGAATGTATTACCTATCTTTTGTTTGACACTTAAAAGAGAGAAATTTCTATTAGGAATCATTTTGGTGTTAGTCTACTTTTCTTTCATTTTTATGATCAGGAAAGGGGATTGAGAAGCCCTCAAATCAGTCTTTCACTCTCTTTAAGAAGAATAGAAGATATTTTATGTGTATGATTGTGCATGATTTTGGTTTTTGTTACAGCAGAATATACACCATTTTAACAACTTCTGTGTGTATGGCTTAGTGACATTGATTAAATTAGTTAGTTACACAACCATTCTCACCTTTTCAAATCTTTCTCTTTCTCTCTTAACATAAATTCACCGCCCCCTAAATTTCCTGTATAATCTTTTAAGTTGCTATTGTCACTTGATTTGCAACAGATAGAACTTAAAAGAGCATAATGCTCAAAGCAGACACTCTTTATTAGTTAAGTTGTTTCATTTTTTAAAGACTTCAAGGCATACTTTTAGGCTTAAAAATTATCATAGGGCCATAGTTTACCTTTTTTTATCAAGATTCTTGAAAGAGTCTTCAGATGTATTCTTAAGAGGGTTACATTTCTTATCCTTATGAACCTAAAATTATGTAAGTTTTATCTGATCCTAAATAATCGGGATGGGAGTGTCAGAGACAGTGCAATTGGCACAGGACAGAGCAGAGTTTAGGGCTGTTGTACATAGGGTCAGTATGAGTCGCAAGCGACTTAACGGCATATAACAACAACAACAACAAATAATTTAAATTCATAGTTTAAACTTTCTGTTTCAGGATAATATTTTTATGAATTTTCAAGAATTTAAAATATTTAACTATGATGTTTAAAACAGGAGTACTCGATCTCTGTGCAGTTGACTTTTGTGAATGACATGAGCCAAGAATATAGTTTCTTTTGTACCATGCCCATATATAATGTCACAGCATTTTTTATTGAACAGATTTTAATTTCATGCTCAATAATAATTGTTGGCTGAATAAATATATACTCACCTCATAGATTCTGGAGGACTCACCTTTTAAGAAACCATATAGGCCAGTGGGGATCTTTTATGTGTGAGAATATATTTAACCATTGACTGATTTCTTTAATGTGAAATTAATACGGAATTAATTATCTATTAATTTTCATCTTATTCTGAGTAAAAATGTTTTAAAAACGTAGTCTCGAGAGTCACTTCCCTTGAAGAAGTGAGGTCTTTATCCCCTTACCTTAAAGCTAAACACTGCAACTGACTAATAGAGTCAAGAAAAGAGATGGCACACTATTGTCTGGAACCAGGCTTTAAGAAACTGGTGGCTTTCCATTCTCTCAGGGTGCTTACACTTGGATACCATGCTGGTGAGGAAATCCAGTCACTCTTTGGAAAGGAGATGACAGCTAGCATGAACTTGACAGCCATGTAAGTATTCAGACTTCTGTCTTGGAAGTAGAAGCCAGTAAGTTCTGGGGTGATTTGTTATGCAGCAATGGAGACTGGCACAGATTTTGTTTCCTGGAAGAAGGCTTCTATTATAACTTCTATTGCTGTATAACAAGTAGCTTTAAAGCTTACTTGCTTCCAACTCCAAGATGAAAGTATTAAAGGATAGCCCCAGTGGCCTCGTCCACAGAGAACTGCCCTGCTAACCTAGAGAACACACCTCTTTAACAGTTCCAGTCCACTAGTGACTCACTGGGACAAAGGTGCTTAATCTTCCCTTGTGCTATTTACAGATGCAGAAACCCAGGGGAGGATCAGTTATGAGTGTGTTCTGACTCAACAAAAATGTTTTGGTTTTTTTTGTTTTGTTTTTAGTTTTAAAAAAAGTTAGAAAAATGTTATTGAAATCTGGGGGAAACTAGACCTTTATTATTGTGACAGAAAGTTATTTTTTGTGATACAACTTTTCTGCAGTAATGTGGAAAATAGGAAGTACTGAGATTTGCAAGCAGAATATAGGAAATAACACTTGGTTCCTTGTCATGTACAATGATAAGATGTGATAGAAGGGCAGAGGACTAAAGAAAGAAATACATAAAAGGCTTACTAGATTTAAAAATTCTTAGTATTTCCAGACAGCAGGATAGTCTCAAAAAAAAATAAAAAGCAAAAAACAAAACAAAACAGAGCTTCAGAGAAGAGATCAGATTTGTTTTTTGGGTAAACAGTTCATCCCAGTGTGTCTACAGTATTTTGGTTTAGCACCAAGAGTCCTGGGCCAGGAAAACCTCTTAATAATGTAAATGAAAAGCAAAAGTTTTTTGTTTTGCTTTTAATTGTGGTAAATATTTAGGTAACATTACCGTTCCAACAATCTTAATATATACAATCAAATTGAAACACATTGCTTTCAAGTTAGAACCAACTCATAGTTGACCCTCCAGCAAGTTTTCAGAGACAATAAAATCACATGGGAGGAGATAGCTTATCTGTCTCCTACTTCAAACTACCTGCCTTCAAACTGCCTTTGAGTTGGCAGCACAACTTCCTAGCAATTAGGTCACCAGATTCAGTGATATTAAATATGTTTATTGTGTGGTGTTCAGCCATAACCATCAACTCTTCCTGAATGTTCCCATTATCCCGAAACAGAAGTTTTGGACCTGCCTGTAAAAGCCAGTCTCTGAGACAGGTATAAGATGAGCAATAGCAAGAAAGAGTTGCACTACTAGGCCAAAGGCCATACCTCTGGTGGTTAGAATTACTAGTGACTCCTTGGGAGAAAGATAGACAGTCTCCTTCCATGTGATTTACAGCCTTGGAAACCTAATGGCGTGTCAGGCATGAATTGGTTCCATCTCAATGGCAGTAAGCTTGAGTTGTTCTTATACATTGATATATAAGAGACAAGGATATTGACTTCCCAGATCTGCCTTTTTATCTCGGAGACTGATAAAGGTTATAATGGGAAGGGACAGGTTGTTGTTGTTGTTAGATGTCATGGAGTCCAGTACAACCTATCACAACCCAATGAACAACAGATCTGAACCTTGTCCTATCCTGTGCCATCCTCATCTTTTCTCACACACTTGAGTCCATTTCTTCAGTCACTCTGTCAGTCCATCTGGTCCATCCACCTTTCCAAGCATAATATCCCTCTCCAGAGAATACCCTATCCTAGCAACATGCCCAAACTCTGTGGGACAAAGCTTTATCATCTTTGCCTATAAGAAGAACTCTGTCTGTCTTTGACCTTCTCCAAGACATAACTGTTTATTCTTCTGGCAGTCCATGGAATATTCAGTACTTGCTTCCACAAGCAGAGCTCAAAGACATTAATTTTTCTACTGTCATCCTTACTCACGGTCCATCTCTCAGAGGCCTAGCAAATGACTGAAAAGATCATGGCCTGAACCAAGGTGAACCTTAACCCTCAAACTGACATCATTACTTCTCAGCAATTTGGAGAGTTCCTTGATGGCAGATTTTGCCAGAGCAATATTTCTCCTGATCTCTTGATTGATAGTTCCAAGGGTATTGATTGCAAGATGAAGTAAGAAAGAAAGAAAGAAAGAAAGAAAGAAGATGAAGTTGTTGACAGTTTCAACCTTTTGTCCATTATGATGTTACCTATAGGTCCAGTGGTGAGAATTTTTGTTTTCTTGATACTGAGATGTAATCCATGTTGGAGGTTTTGTTCTTTGATCATCTGCACCAAGTGTTTCCAGTCCTCCTCTCTTTCAGCAAGCAAGCTTGTGTTATCTGCCTAATGCAGGTTCTTGAGTCTTCCTGGGATCCTGATGCTACATTCTTCTTCCCAGAGTCTAGTTTCTCAAATAATTGCTCAGCATACAGATTGAGTAGGTATATAGAGAGATGCACACCTTGATGCACAGCTTTCCTGATTTTAAACCGTGTAGTGTTCCTTTGTTCTGTTTGCAGAACAGCCTCTTGGTCTAGGAATAGGCTTTGCATAAGCACAATTAAGTGTTCTGCCTTCTCATTCTTCTCAATGTTAGCCATAATTGTTGTGATCTACCCAGTCAAATACCTTTGCATAGTGAATAGAACACAAATAGATATTCTTCCGGTATTATTTTCTTTTAGCTAGAATCCATCTTACATCAGCAATGATATATATCCCTGGGGCCATGACCTCTTCCAAATTCAGCTTGAACTTCTGGCTGTGTATGTATTGTTCTGGCTGTTTTTGGGTGATCTTTAGCAGTATCCTGCTTACTTTGTGATATTAATGATATTGTGTGATGTGTTACCTTTCTTGGGAATGGGGGAAAATATAGATCTCTTCCAGTCAGTTGGCCAGGCAGCTGTGCACCAAACTTACTGGCATAGACTAAGGAGCATTTCCAGGCCTGCATCTGTTATTTGAGCGAACCATGTCAATTGGTATCCCATGGATTCCTGGAGCTGTGTTTTTACCAATGCCTTCAGTACCACTTGAACATCTTTCTTC